GTGGCACTCGATAACCGCTTAGCCAAAGATGTCCCCTCTTTATAGTACGGCTATCGATTCTAAACATGATCACACTCTCTATATTATCTTGATCACAAAAATAAAAACCTATTTAATACCTTTGCCTTGATCAACACTTGGTTTTTGTTTTTCTCTTTCTTGTCAAGTTAGAGCACTTATCTCTAAGTTTGGCCACCACAAACACCATGACCATCATCTAGCTCCACCAATTGGTGTGTACAACCCTATCTCAATCACAACACTTAAGGACAAGAGTTAGTACACTAGGTTTCATCAATTATCCAAAACTAAACTAGGGCTTTCACCTGATCGAGGTGAGTTTTGACCTTTTCCCATGAGGAAAGGCCATAGCTGAGCCGTCCACCTAGTAGCTCGGCCTCCCGAGCCCAGACACGCTCGCCGACCTCCTTTGCTGACCCACCTCTACAATAACAAAAACCTAGATAAGTCTTGTTCTCCTGACCCCTTCGCTCCTTCTATCTTGTTACCGTTTCCATCTTCCCGAGAGACCCCGGCAGGTGCTCGGCTACACTAGAGGAATAGTTGACTAACCACCCATTGCTCTCTCTGAAGGAAGGCTACGATTGAAGGCCCGAGCGAGCAAGGTTAGGATGGATGGAACAAGCCAGGCGATGAGAGGACCAGGCGAGAGATCAGCAAGCGCTAACAGGCGCCCCTGCCCGTCATGTTACCAGCTATGTCATCTTTCCCTTCTCTTATCTTCATTTTGTTTTATTTTTGTCTATCTCTCTGTCTCCTGATCCTTCATTGGACCGTGTCTCCCAGCTGCATGACAGTATGCGGCCCCAGAAGGAGCATCATTGAGGGTCTCAAGGTTAGCCCATCGGGCTTCAAGGCCGCCCGAAGCATCTAAAAGTGCAAGGGACGTTCACAGGCGGGCACTAGAGGCCTTAGTTGGGCGCTTAGAAGCGAAACCGGCCGACCATCGAACGGTGTCCGAGTATCGACCTCGAGCCGCTCGTGGTCACCCACCAAGGGAGGCAGCGAGCCCCCAAGCCCTAAAAGACAGGCTTGGGAACCATACGAGTGGCTCAGTCAGGAAACAGAGGATCTCTCCTCTAGGGGACATGACCGGGGCATGGAACAACCGTAAACCTAGGGTTCTCACAGACACACCTGCTAGTAGCACAGGTGCGGCAATCTTGGCCACCGAGACCATTGTCGTAATAGCCCATCTCGGTAAGGGACTTAAGTCTCCGAGCACGACTCACGAGCAATGAGATTACAAATGAAAGTAATTTCATTAATAATTGGAAACGACTCGAATGCAGTATACAGTGGCAAAAACTACTACAACACCACCGCCATAGCGGCAAGAGCCACGGCCGCTCCGTCAGGCCCCCCAACCGAGCTTACGCGGCACATAGACAGGCACAGCGAAGGTTGGGCTAGCCCCTTGCCCCATCGGTGCATGGAAATGCACTGAGGTTGGGGGCACCTCCACTCTGGCTGACCCTCATGCTGAGCCGATGACACCTGGCCAAGCTCGCCGGTGCGAAGACCCGATGGGTCCCCAGATCGCTGGCTCTTCCACTAATAAAATGGAAGGACCCCAAGCGACCCACGTCACTGGGATCCTTCTATTTTCTAGGGAAGGGCAACAGGACGGGGACTCGGTGGGCCATGGCGCAGGCAAAGCGTCAGCGCTGGCCGTTCGGGAAGACGACCGCGGCCGTTCGGGCTGCCGGCAGCGCTGGAGGTGTCCGCCCCCTGCCTGGCACCGTGGTTCTGCATCCTCCTCCGCACCACGCCGTCGACTTCCCTTCGCTAGGATCCTTCCACTCTCGTGGGAGCAATCGCCCGGTGGAGGAGTCAAGGCTCACTCAGAGGGAGGCGTCACACTTCATCGTCGCCATGGCAGCTAGGAGTTAGATCTGAGAAGAAGAAGAAGAGAAGAAGCCAGAGGAGGGATAGAGGCGCCGCGCCGCCGAGGGCTCCCCTTTATAGCCCTAGTCGACGCGCTGTGAGCGGCTCTGGGCCCTCCAATCAGCCATCGGCGGCTAGAGGGGCCTCGGGGGACTGGCCAGGCGCCCCTTCAATCACCGCAATGCACCCAAAGCAGTTATGTGATGGTGGCCATGCAGTAAAGGTGGAGTCAGGAGGGCACTAACAACGAGTTAGTCCTCGCTCCACTTTCCACCAAGTGTGTCGCCCACTCTGCACACGTCTTCTCATGAGACTTGAGGGGATCTGACTCCCCTCTAGCCCACCGGCCGCTATCAATGGCCCGTATCCGTGCGCACAAAGTGTCGTAGCCCCTCCTCCGCTAGATCTACTCCACGTGGCCTGATGTTCAATCTCCTAGACAAAGTAGGACAGCATGAGAGTGCATGCCATAACACCTCTGGCAGGCGCGGTAGCCTAGGCGCCATCAACCGCCTACGCGAGACATTAGAAGGCGAGGCGCGTCTAGAAACAGCCTCGCCCACTAACAAGGAGGCCCCACGATAGCCTCGGGGGCTACGCTAACTCCCTAGATGGAGAAGACCTGGCCTCCCGATCAACGGGCACCTGGGCAGCACACCCCCAAAACCAACCAACTCCCTAGAGTTGGGTCAGGAGCCACTGAGGAGTGGACCCAACGAGGACCCCCCATCCAAGCTCGGCGTGCTCCCCGCACCCCAACCTATGACTACTAAGGTCGGTCCGAGAAGATCAAGGCCTGCTACCGAAGCCTTTAGAAGGGTGTGGCGCGTCGAGTGATCAGGTGGCCCCGAGCTAGAGCCCAGATGCTCTCGATCAACCGACACATGATAGGCTTAGATCAGAAAGGAGGGTGCCTCTGGGCCCAAGGTTGGCGACTCCTAGATGAATTCGTCGAACCCTCGCTCGAGCCACAGACTCACGCAACGTGGTTCAAAAAAGGGGTCAACACCACCATCGCTCGGCCCTGATAGCAGAGCGCCCATATTACACTTGGGAAAGGGCCCCACGAAGGGCATCACACTCTTGTTAGTGGAAGTCATCCCTGCCATGACTAGTTCGGTCACCAGAAGATCAAATTCAGCCCTTTATCGCCATCACGAATCTGACCAAGTGAGGCCATGAAGGGCTCAAGGGCTCCTGATGAGATCCTAACATATGCGTATGTTAAGCCTCAGGATCAAAGGTTCCCGACCGAGAGACCCCCCGATCAACCCCTTTAGGGTCACCCGGGGGCTATACCCATTGGGTACTTTCGCACGCACCCTCAGGCCAAGGAATTAGGTCGAGCCTGAGCACGTCCGCCGCCTCTGCTCGGTACTTAGGGGTGGACCCAATCCTTGGCTCCCTCCCGACCTTCGGAGCCAACCAAGTCCGGGGCACAACAAAGGACACCCTAAGCCATCAAGGCTTGGGGGGCTCCCCGAGCGCTACCCCTTGGGCATGGCTCTATCATCCACTCCCCCGATAGGGTCACGCATGGGGCATGACACAAGAAGACAAGCTTCCCTGTGGACTCCAGGGGCTCGGGGGCTCCTAGGCTCACACGTCAGCCCCTTAAGCCGGCCTCCTTCGCCACCAAGAAGCCTCCAGAAGGTGCACCTGCGGGAGGTCGGTCCAAGCCAACACAGATTGACACTCAGCGTGTTAGAACAGAGCAGCCGGACGACGCCCAGAGCTTCTTCGGGTCCCCGATATCACCACGGTCCACAGAACGCCGCTACAAGATCCTCCTAGACTCCAGCGCATGTAGACTATAGGCTCAACTCCCCAAAACCGCCATGTACTCGACCTACCTCGAAATATAAGAGGGGAGAGGACGATTCCAGACAGATCATTCGAGTCCTCACCATTCCACTCGAGCTCAGCACCGAGAGCAGAGCAACCCAGAGAGGGCATCGAGAGCTCCTCCACCTCACCCGTCGTCTTCCTCCTCTCCGGCGAGGGGTAAGGCTCCACGGGCGGCAAGGCATCCCTAGGATCAGCACCAAGCGATCCCCTACCAAATCTCTCTCTTTCTCCTGTACACTCTATTGTAACCACCTAGATTTTAGCTGCTCTTGAGTATAAGGATCATCAGCTGCTGGATGTACGGCATCGATTGGCCCGAACTAGGATAAATCGTTGCGTCCTCTCTGTGATTCTTGTGTTCTTGAGTCCACCCGAACCACCAGAAACACGCACTCTGACACTACCACAAACAACAATGTTTGCCACGGTTTCGACTCCGCAACAGCCACCAACTGTTTTAGTTTTTCCTAGAATCTGACAGCATATGGCGGAGCTAGGATCTTGCAGCAGGGTATTCCATGTAGAAAAGAGTTATTACACGATGGTCACGCGACGCGTCGAGCACCCATGTGCCCGCACCCACGCCCGCGTCGGAGAGGAAGAAAAAGGCGCTTAGGGTTCCGAGGCGGTGGGAGAAGGCGGTTGGGCGGGGCCGACGGTGGGGAGTCACGGCAAAGCTCGCCGGCGCCCTACCCTGGGATTAGGGTGGGCGGAGTCGACGGGTGGGGGCGGTGGCGAGGGCGAAGACGAGGAGGCCGCCAGTGCGCCACCCTGTGGTTAGTAGATGGCGGGGCGGAGTGGCGGGGGCGGGAGGTGGGCGGCGCGGCTAGCGGCGAGGCTGCTGCTGGCCAGGGTGCAAGTCATCCCGCTGTCGTCCTCATCAGGAAAAAAAACGACTCCACGCTTCCTACGACTCGTCGACCGCTCCAGACCGCGCCGCCGCCGAGCGCCCCAGAGACAGCCGCTGCCGCCGCAGCCATCGCGCGGCGCTGGTGAAGCCCGCCCCAGCCATCGCGCGGCGCTGGTGAAGCCCGCCGCGCGGACCTCGGGCATCGGCTGGAACCCTACGCGCAGCCCGTCCCGCTCGGCGGGAGCTCCACGGGCGGCCGGCGAGAAGCGGCCGCAGCACGTTGAGCAGCAGCAGCTTCTTCAAGTCCTCCACCCTCGCTTGCTGCTGCCACCAGGTGTGCCAACCCCTTCTCTTCCCTTCCCTCCCTCGTCATCGTCGGCTCGTCGCCGTGGCGATGGCGGACGCCGGCGACAACAGCATGGCGCTGGTACACGCGCACCTGGCAGACTCCGCGGTGGCGCCGCCGCGGACGCTGAGGCAGAGGCAGAAGTGGGAGGTAGAGTACGCTCGCTACTTCGGCACGCCGCGGCGGGACCCCTCCGCGCCGCCGCCACCAGGGCTCCGCCACATCATCCGCGGCGTCCACCGCCACCAGGGAACCTGGATTCCTGCCTCATGCCCCGCTTCCCTCTACGTCTCCCACCCCAGCCTCCCCTCCGCAGTCCCCGTCCTCACCATCTCCATCGGCGACGTCGTCTTCGTCCGTACCTAAACCCCCTACCTCCATCCAAGTTCTTTATACTCGAGTCGTATCTCGTGTGTTGCTGTTGTGTGACTGATAGTAGATCGTTTAGGTGTCCGCGTCTGTTTAGGGGACTTTAGGAAATGGTTGTCCTGGTTTGGGGTTTAGGTTTTCTTGTTGGCAAAAATTGACTGCTCCGAGCTAGTTTTGTCCCAGAACACATAAAATTTTGGTGTGGAGTTTGATCTTTGTAAAATACATGCTAGGAATTAGTGTCCTAGTTTCGTGTCTCAGCAAGTTGCATGCCCGTGTCCAATTTGTGATTTCTAACATATCAAATGAGTCCATTCAATTTCTGGACAAGTGGTTCGCCAAGTTGCATACCCTGGCCCAATTTGTGATTTCTCAACATATCAAATGAGCCCATTCAATTTCTAGACAAGTGGTGCACCAGATTCTTTATGAACTTTGTTCGGATATAATCTGTGCCATGTTAGCCTGTCTTTCTATGTTGTTCTTTTTAATCATCTTCGTAAATCCTTCTATGTTGATGCCATTGTCTCAGTTAGCTTTGTTTTTTTTTTTACTTTTTATTAATTTTTTTAATCGAGAATTAAATCTGCTTTTAAAAAGCAAAAAAATCCATACATACTTTTTATTAATCTAATAAGTATCATTGTTTTTTTTGAATTACCATGCATGGCTGTATGTGCTGTATCTGTTTCTGCAGTTAAGTTCTACAAATAATTGATTTCTCGTATATATTCTATGTGTAATGTTCCGTTCATTATGCTTTTAAAATTCTCAATGGATTGGTACGGATTAATGAATGCATATGCTAGCTTGACATATTCGAGGCTTTACAGCAGAGGAGTTAATATTTCTTAGGCTGGTGTCTTCGATCTATAAAAGGGGATAGCTCATTTAATTGAATGTCTAGGATTGGTTAGTTGAGTGATTCCATTTGTTGCATGATTAGATTTCCTCGCACTCGCAGAAGTTAATTGTGAATATACCATTTAATGTCTGACAAGTGGACTCTATACTATTGGGATTTTATTGATTATTTTGCCACGTGAGTAAAGTTAGTCTTTGATTTATGATGAATTGTCTGCTACCTTTCTATTGTGAAATTTTGCACCAGTAACTCCTATATGGTTGTTTTTGTTTTGTCACAGAATTCCTTTTCTTACTGAACTACTTGCCCATCGCACAGGAGGAGCACTTTGTGTCGATTCTCAACTTCTCTTGGCCTCAGGTTACTTGTGTGACACAGTGCCCCATCAGAGGTAGCAGGGTGGTATTCGTGAGCTTCTGTGATAAGTCTAAACAGGTAGTCTTTGTGTACCATAAGAATAAGATGTGATTCTACCAGCTAGTCAGTTGAAAGAAATGATATTTAACTGTTGCACTGTTATCTTGCAAGTTTGAATGGAAACCGTTTTAGTGCTTACGAGATGTTTGTATGCATAAATAACTTTGTGATCACTTTTCTAATGACAGAAATTTTATGATGTCTGTAGATCCAGAAGTTTGCTGTACGTTTCCCACAGCTCTGTGACGCAGAATCGTTCTTAAGTTGTGTGAAGGTGAGTTTTCTGTACGTTTTCCAGAGGTCAATGATGTAGGGTCATTCTCAGATTGTGTGAAGGTTGAGTCTGTTATATTTCAGATATATCCAAATGCCACTTCTCTAATCCCCAGTGTCTTTCAGTGTTGCCCATATGCGCATCTATTTGTCATGGATGACTTATGTTTCTTTATGTTCTCTTTTGATGCTCATTAGAGCTTACTGTATCATGTTGTATGTAGCAACTGAAGTGCGTTGAAATGAAGTATCGTGCATTTTTATGTTTACACTAGTGATAGATAGAAACATAAATGAATTCCATGAGAACATTTTGTAATCCCATTTTGACATTCTTGATGGCTTATCTTCATTTCTATTTTAATAAAATCTACATGAAAGAAATGTAACACCATTTATTTTTTTAATATGGATATTTCTTTAATGGAAAAGCAGTATATTTTCATTATAAAAAAATATTTGGAACAACGGAGCTTATTTATGTGCTAATACTATCAGAAAACCTAATATTGTTTTTCTAAACTTTTTTATTATAAAACCTTGAAGGATTTTTCATTTTATTATATGACTGCCAGAATTATTACCAGATTAAAGCATTTTGGATGTGTTTTACATTCTACCTCTCTTTTACCAAAGTTTACTTGACATGAAACCACGGTGACGCTACATACCATTGTGAGAAAAAAAAAAAACCCCTCAGCTACTGGGGAAAGACTGCCTCACACGTTTTTTTACTCTAGGAAGGAACCTCAGTCAAACTGATCGAAAAAACCCACTGAACCCAAACTTCGTATATGGACGCACCGGAATTTGGGCTGATCACGACCCATTGGATTGGCTACAACTGGGAATTTGGGCTGATCACGACCCATTGGATTGGCTACAACTGCAATTACCACATGTTAGGAGGGCCCAAACCCACCACAAGTGCCACAGGCTGGCCCCTTGCCACTATTTTTTGTGTTGTCGGCAAGGAGAGATTTTGGGCGCAAACTAACCGCAGTTGCCATAAGCCAGCCCCTACCATTATTGCATTGCCAACGAGGGGATTTTTTTTGGGTACCAGGTTGGATTTGGAACCCTGGCCAGTGTCTTCCTCAACACTACTACCTATGATAGTTTCATTTGTTCTTGGACGGGTTAGGCAATGAAATTTAAGTATCAGACTAGGTTTCCTCTTTGCTTGTAAAAGGGTTTTAAAATATTAACTAAGTGTATTTATTTAATAATCATAAAGGAATGCTCATGCGAAACCATGGGCATCATACCGTCTGGAAGTGACTACGTGTGTGAAGATTCATCAGCATCTGAATATATTGCTTCTAATGGACTTCACCACAGGTAAGGATAGAACTTTTTAAGGTTTGTAAGTTGCAAGATGTATTTGTTTTGTGACATAAATGTTCCTAGGCCGGATGATGCTTCAAGCTTTGAGGAGCGAAGTTCTGACCACACAATAGATGAACCACCAATGAGCTACCATGAGGAACCAGACCAGCCTGTTCTTGAACCTCTCAGTGCTGACAACACTAGTAACAGCTACTCTGCTTTCCCTCCTAGTTTCAATGAAATGCTGACAAATTGTTCAATTGATTATGACCAAGGTGAACTAATTTCCAAAAAAGATTTACATTGAAATACAATATCCGTATTTTGATTTTGTTGGTCTATAAGCTTATTAATACAATGTAAATCTGATACAGAGGAACCCTGTCCATTGGCTGCATCAAAGCATGCCTTTCAAGAGGTAATGTTGTATCTATTTGAAAGTCATGCAAACAGCTGCTGCCGAGAATGTTACTGATACTTTTAAATCATTCAGGTGTATGCACTGGACACTTCTCATGATGGTAAGAATGATTTTAACTTCATCTTTTATCTTAATTGTATCGATGCTCCTCCTCCCTTGATATGTAAGCAATGTTTCTTTGCAGTTGCCAATGAAGAAACGACTGCTGGTAAAGGAATGGATGCTGGTGAGGGAGTTGATACCAGTATATTAACAAATGACATAATGGCACGGATAAAGGTACCGTTCTTATTAAGAATCTTTTGGTCGTTTTTTTCCTATTGTCAAGTATTTTGTAAATAGTAACATCATATTTTTCGTCTTCAGACATATATGGCTGATGAATCCTTTAATGGTATGTTTTCCCTTCCTCATGCTGTACATATTTATAAAAAATGAACCATACAACGGTTTCTCACCCTTTCCATTATTCTTGCATATTAACAAAAAATGCATCATTCTCTTTAGTTGTTACCCATACATTAAGTCCTCATTTTACATAGTAATATTGATTCAGTACTTTTCTTTCTCTAGATATGTTGTTCAAGCTTGATAAAGTCATTGATGAACTTGGTGGTGACATGTCGCTGTAGATAGCAAAACTTCTATGGTGAAGGAATGAAGATCTGTCTGTGGTCATATATACTACTAGAAAAGCAGGCACGCTAGGCGGCACCCTACAGTGCATTTCCCAAAAGTTCAGATTGTGAAGCAATAGTATAAATTACATATGGCTATACATAGTAGATAGTATCTGTATAGATTACATGCCAAGATAAATGTTCGGTACTACCAACCGTTTTTTGCGAACAATTTACAATACATGCACAAAATTTCCATCCAAAGCACAAAAGTTCAAAATACACAATTTGCTACCATGCTCATGTTTATCTAGATATCCAGTTGATTAAATAGTAGCAGATTCTTTCATAGCCAAATGGTTCGTAATAGGTGATCACACATATATGCGAAAGAATTGCCTCAACGAGTATTCCCGATTATATCCTAGTTGCTGCAAGTGCCCTTGTTGATGCACCTGTATATAAAAGGAAGTATGATCCTTATCAACTACGGACTACCATGGATGGAAAATCGAAAACTGGATAAATTCCTTTGCTATAGTGTTAATGTAGATTCAGTAGTGAAAAATGAAGCTCATTGCAGAATCCAAATTTATGAAATTTTGATTAGATTTGCACGTTTTTTCCTCAAGCCTTATAGTTAGTACATCTTTTGATGTGTGCCTTAAGATCATGTAACATTTGTCATTCTTCCAAATAATGAGAATCCCTACCGATGTCTTGTCTTGACACTGAATTGAATCTTGGATCATACACCAACAAAGTCTAGCACGCTCGAGGTCACGAATGACCTAATCACGTAGCAAGTAACTCCGAAATCAGTATGTACTAATCAGTTGGTTAATAGAACCGATTTCAAGCTCGTTCTTCACCGATAGAGCTCGAGAATGTTTGGAATAGTGCTCCATGGGTGTGTCGACCATGCAGTGCAGTGGAGAAATGATCAACAAGATCTTGAATGTACTTTCCATGGGACATATAAAGGGCATCAGAGGTGGAAGAGACCTCCGTCCCAAGAAAAGTAACGAAGAGAACCAAGACTATGCATGAGAATGATCACTGGGACCACGCATGAGAAATTGCTCATTGGGACATGCCTTTACAAAGGCAATGTACTCATAATTGTCACCGGTGATGATCATATCACCAACATAAAGAAGAAGACTTCGACCACGGGATGAAGCATGAATAAACAAGGCGGTATCATGAGCACTCAGAGAGAAACCAGTAGCAGTGATAGCAGAGGCAAATCGCTGAAACCAACCACAGGGATCTTTGTTTGAGGCCATAAAGAGAACAACAAAGACAACAAACCATTGCCATTAGGAACAAGATACCTAGGAGGTGGTCGCTTGTATACCTTCTCATGGAATTTACCATTAAGGAAGGCATTTTTCACATCAAGTTGAGAGATGGACCCGGCACAAATAGAGGCCACAATAAAAAGAGTGCGAACGGTGGTTATGTGAGCCACATGAGCAAAAGTCTCATCATAGTCATGACCATTGTCGGTGTTTCATAAACCGGACTAGTAAACTTATACGATTGCCGCACTGCTCTAGGAAGACGATGGTAGCATCCAAAAGACACGAGGATTTATACTGGTTCAGGCCGGAGCCCTATGCCTAGTCTCAGAGATGATCGAGTGCGTGTTCCTCGCTTGAATTCTCTGAAGTTCTTACAATGGGAGGTGCAAGAATGGTGGAAGAGGTAGAAGAACCTATGCTAGGCGATGGACTCTCGAAGGCAAGCTCCAGGAGCCCTACTTCTAGGAGGAATGAATGAAATGGTAGATGATTCAGAATGTCCGGAGAAGGCGCCCTGGCTGCCCTTATATAGAGTTCGAGGCCAGGGTGCATACAAAGCAGGAGGTTCTCCCGACCGAAGCGCCGATAGCCTGAGGGAGGGCCTAGCTAACTTGGCTTGCAAGCTACGCTGTCTTCTGGTGCCCGTCCGGTCGTGGCTATCGTCATGGCCTTCTGACCATGTCGCGGCAGGATGTGACGTGGCGCTACTGTGCCAGCCGTGGAGGCACCGTAGCCTCGATGCCGGTTCATCAGCCGTCCTGTGCAACGCGGTGTCCATCGTGGCCTTCGTCATCGTCTCCTGGTTCCTAGGGGCGTCGTACCCTGAGTAGGTAGTTGTCCTGGGTCGTCGATTGCTTGGTCACCTCACGGGGTCGGGGCACTCTGCCGGTCTGGATGGCCTTTTCGTCGAGCCCCTTGTCTTGAATCCCCATCCCGAAGTGGGTGGGATCGTGCAAGCGTCTAGTCGGTCCGTATTTGGCTGGTGGGTGTCGTACCCGTTGCCATTGTGGTGCGGTGTTGTCTCGTCGGTGCGGCATGGCATAGGGCTGGTGTCTGACCGGGCCGAGGTGAATGTTGTCCCCTCGGTCCTTGTGGGGTCAGTGCGGCATGCTTGCTCTTGTCAGAGGAGGCGCATCTAGCTACGCTGGACCTCCCCAAATCCCTTCTAGGGGTCGTGACTTCGTGTGTCTTGCGAGTGCTATGTGCTAAGGCGGGTGGAAGGGGTTGAGGATGACCCCGGCCTTGGTGGCTGGCCTGCTCTGCTTGGCTTTCGCTGGGCCTCGGTCGTTCAGGGCTTTTGTTAGCTTCTGTATCGTGGGCCGCTCGGCTTGCTACCTAATCGATGCCTTGAGACAGTCGGGGATCATAACCCCGACAACCATACTCCTGCTGAAAACCACAAGCAACAAGACGAGCCTTACAACGCTCGAGAGAGCCATCAGAGCGGGTCTTAATCTTATAAACTGACTTGCTCGTGATGGGACAGACATGAGAAGGAAGAGTTGAGTGGACCATAACGCCTAAGAGGGAGGATTAGGCAACTTAAAATCTATTTCTGAGACTATGGCATCTAGTTTCCACCTAGTCAAAGCCTATGCAATAAATAAATAATCTAGATTTGCAACTAAGGTTTTACTAGGTGTGTTGCTATCTCTACTGTAAAAGAGTTATACAACCTAGGTTCCAAACCTATCACTAGCCTATCAAACTAAGCTAGGAATATAGAGCACATAACCTAAGTACATAATATAAATGCCAAAGTTAAAGAGCGGTAGAGACGCAAGCTCCCATCGATGACTTTGGTGTTTTTACCAATGTATCAAGAAGCTTCTCGCATCCCCCTAGTCCTTGTTGGAGCCCCTCGCAAGGGCCAAGCTATTGGTCGGGTAACTCCATGGATAGCCTCTGGGCCTTCCCCACACGTATGTGGGTCTCCAAGATGGCCTCTCCAGGACCCCTCCCTGTTGTCTTCACTATCGAGCTTCTAGCCAAATCCCCGCCGGCCTTGTTCCCTCTATTATACTATTATACGGTGGCGGCCACACCACAAACGTGGTTGGTGTCGTCTCACAAGACTACAAACCCTCCCGATGTACAACAATAGTACACACAAGCATTGAGTGAGCAAGAGGTATGCAAACCTCACTAACACAAGGCCTAAACCTAGAGCAAGCGCTTTTGCGATGGTCTAACTAGCCTAAGCACTTCGCAAAGCACCTATACGACGAGTGATTTTAGTAAGCACTATGGTGACAAGAGCACTAGAGTGATGCCTCAACTCCCTCGGTATCTTCCTCATCTCCTATGCTCCTCAAATGGCCGGCCAAGGGGGTATTTATAGCCCCCGACACCAAAACTAGACATTGGTGGTGAATCTACAGCTTTTGCATGGCATAGGATGATCTAGTGCCTACCACCTGACTATTCCGGGGGTGCCACATCAATTTGCGAAAGGATCTATGGACGTCTAGAGGGGGGAGGGTGAATAGCCTATTAAAATTCTACAAACACAAAGACACTAGGCAAAGTTGATTAGTATAAAGGACAATCCTTATAGCCACTACTTTGCCTAGCCTACAAAAAGCAATGCAAGCCCCCTACTCAATTCTAGTTGCAAGTCTAATTAACTAATTACTCAAGCACCCAAATAACTAGAGCTCTACAACTACACTAGTGAGCTTAACAAAAGAGCAACTAAACTACACTACTCACTAGAGAGCTACACAAACTAGCGAGAGCTACCAAGCAACAGCACAAGCACAAGATAATGAAATTAAATGCAAGTGTTGAGAGAGTGCAAACCACCGAAGGCAAGTGATACAATATTTATTTATCCTGAGGTTTGGTTGCTTGCTGGCAACTTAATCCCCAATGAGGTGGATCCTAAGATCATCGCTTCACTTGGTCTAGCGAGCACACAAGCTCAGCCCCTATGACATAGGGCACCACTAGAAGCTAGTGGATCACTAAGGACCTCTCCAAACCTCGATTGATTTCACTAGATTTACTCTACGAATCTCCTGCAGGATGAGCACAAAGCCCCTCACAATGGCCAATGATCGAAGGCGCCAACAATCACCAACAGCCCCTCAATGATCCTCCTCAAGCACCAAGCCGGCTAGGCAACGACAATCTCCAAGAGTAAGAAGAAATCATGAGCCACAAAGATCAACTAGTGCCACCAAATGCAACTCTTCAAATGCAATGCACTAGAGACTCTCAATCTCTCACAAATGTGATCACTAAAGTCAAGAGAGGAGATGGGAGAGTGTTCTTAGCTTTAGAGGGTTGTATGAAACTCAACAAAAGGCCAAGAGACCCCCAAAGCCGGCCAACCAACTATTTATAGAGGTAGAGGCAAAAACTACCTGTTTTGCCCCACACAACAGCTCTGCACGCTCTTGCGGTCCAGCGCTAGGCAGCCAATAGTCGAGCTAAACTTCCAATGAATACTAACAGCCAGGCGGCTCCAAGCGTTAGCGAGACACCTAGTGGTCCAATCACTAGCTCCATTGTTGGTCCGACTGTCAGGTTAACATTGCATGACCAGAGAGGTTTGGGGTACCAATGGACTGGTCCAGTGACCCCAACGGACAAAGCACTACATGTCTTTAATTTTCTAATGCATTGGTCACAAGACCAGTCTGACCGCTCGCTCGTGCATTTGAACCACCACACACTCCCAAGCCTAGTTAGCCTAGCCAA